AACATATTTAAAAACAAAGATATTGTGCTCAGATATTTCAAATGAGTGTGCATTAACTAAATAGGCAAATAAATTCGCACAATCGGCTTACGATTTATTTTAGTGCAACTTTGTTTACACTACTAATCTAGTCTTGTTTTATAAACAATAAGCAATATTTACAACTATTATGTATTCTAAGAGCTTTAAATAGCAACAAGCACTTAACTACAACCATCATAGGACGAACGAAGGTGTATCATTATTTAGAGTACTACGACAATACGAATGTCTTTCTTTGGCTCAAACCTTCAGCTTAAGATGAGTGCAACAATATATTTGCCTATTTACATATTCATTAGTGGTATTCTTATCGTTTACATAAGAGATTATTAAAGAATAAAGTAACAAAGGCGGCTTTAAATTTCTATTAACGTTGTATTAGTATAAGTATGAGTATATACTTTCTAATAATCTGGAAACAATATACATATGTAATGCTTGAGATATAACAATTAGTCTCAACAGTGTAACATTTTCCCAACATCTCTCATAAATAAACCATTCATCTATAGTAAAGTTAAACTACGTGGGCCAAAAATATTTTTAGTCTTTGCTGAGAACGCGCCAAATAAATTATAATTATTTACCATTGGCTTAGGGTACTAACCTCAACTGTGATTCTTTCAAATTTTTATTAAATTTCAAAAAAATCGTTCTGAAATTAATGGTCTTAAATTGAAGTTATTTCTGTTATTTTTAGTACATAGGGAAAACCCCCCGTTGATTCAGTTCAACCAGCTGATAAAGTGTTACGTCAAATCTGTTCCAGCATATTCAATTATGGGCATGGGTTACTTGATTTTGCTTCGCTCAGAAACATCCAGAATCCTAAAATTTTTGATATGCCCGATAAATTGAAATGATTGCGCTACGAACTAGTTCCCCACTCAACCCAACGTATTCGTCAGATTGGATCTCAAACGACTATTTTCTCTTTTTCATACGCAAAAAGATTCTGGCTAGAAAAATATTACACTCCAATTAGGAGGTGAAGATGGAAACAAATGCCTATTTTAAAGACCTGAAAGCTTTACACTATCGAATTGGTATCAAAATGTTGGAGCATTGCTACAATAAATACCTTACTCTGGATGGAGATGATGTCGAAGGATTAAGCTATATTTTCATTAAAAAAATACTCTTATTGCTAAGTTTGTAGTTGAATGCCTACACATGTATTGTATTTTTATATTTATATTATATTTTATATATTTATTGATTATGTATCTACAATATATGAATGATGTAAATATATACATATATATAAATATGCCGATTTATATATTATATATATTTACAGCATATACATACATATGTAGCCATATACATATGTGTATAAGCATTTACTATATACATACTTATGTTTCACAATTTTATTTTTTGCAAAATTTCGCCAAATCTCCAGAAGTTTTCCTCAATACTTCACATTATTTAGCGATACCATTCGCCACGATTTCGCTTCGTCTCTGCCTCAATGATAGCCATGAGTTGGATCTGCGAATCATTTTTCCGGCCGTAATACAGTAAACTGCTATCAATTTCATCCGGTGCATCTACCAAATGTATTAACCAACCGTATTTTTGATTCTCCGTAATCGGTGCCAGCGTTCGATTTTTTAAAGCATTTGAACGTTGTTTGCTAATCCAGTCCATATAGTGATTCACCTTTGGCGAGCTTGAGAGCTTCGGATCGCATTCAAATGACTCATGACGGGCGTAAAATTTTTCCGTTAATGCTTTCATCCGATAATTTGGACGAAAATAATTGTCATTGTGATTTATATTTTTGCTGTTACAACAAGGCATGACTTAAAAAAAACTGTAGAAAAATTATAAAAATTATAAAAAATAAGTATAAAGAGAAAATAGTAAAAAAATGTGCGCGGTAAAGCAATATGTGTTGCTTCACTTTGTAAATTGACGTCTCAATATTTTTAAACATGTCAATTGTTTAGATAGAAAATGTGAATACCCGAGCACAATATATACACAGGGGTGTTATGACTTTGCGGGTAAAATTTGGAAGACGTTCCGGTTACGAAGAGTCGACTGTCGTGGGAACAGTAAGTGCCCATTTAATCTTCAGTTTTAATACACATCGATTTTAGAAATAGTATATATATAATAGATATTATTAAGGTGCAAATCTTTAATGTGTTATGATTAGTATTCAAAAATGTTTCGACCAACTCCATTAAAACAGCTTTTGCCAACCTGATAATATTCCACTACTACTACTTACATACTGGACCTATAACCGTTGACAATCGCTGCAAAAGTCAAAAGGTTTGGTTTTCCTCTGATATTCATCCTTAAGCAGTAAAACTACTGTAGGAACTGCTTCACTCTGAAAGTCGGACGCAAACCACTATATTATTTTAGATTGGGACCTTCTTTCAGAATTATATACGTAGAAATCACCGGATATATTATAATATATATTTAATTTCTTTAAAATTTCTTGTGTTCAGTTTACTTGAAAATATAGAATATTTGAATTTTTTTTTTGATTATTGGGACTCATTTGGTTTCGAAAAAGTTTGTAGATTTTCGTTCTTGTCATTATTTTAATCATTAAAAAATAAAAAGAGAGAGAACAACGAATCAAAAGAAGTATAAAGGATTTACTGATTAATCTCTTAAATACGCATTCGAGAATTTTTTCACAATTATGGCGTTCAATAAATTTTTACGTTTGTCCAACGGCCCCGATATGCCGGCTTTTGGCTTGAGAACATACCAGGTTTGTTGAAAACATAATGAACTATGTAATATTAGCATGAGTTAGAGGTAAGATGAAAGCAAGTTTTCCTTCTCTTTTGTTGAAGAGTATTGCTAAACTAACATCTTTAGAACATATATACCATTTAATACCTGATTTTCATCTAGATAAAAAGCGATGACGTTAGTGTGATTTTAAATGATGCCATCGAAGCCGGTTATCGTCTTTTTGAAACTTCGCCGTCCTACAATAATCAGGATGACGTTGGAGATGTCTTAAATGCTTGGTTAAAAGGAAATAAAATTATACGAGATGAACTGTTTATTGTGACCAATTTGCCTGTTTCAAGTAAGTTTGCACTCTGAGCTCAAAAAAGTACATAAACATTTTTTGTTGCAGACAACAGGCCACATGAAGTTGAAGACACGCTGAAAGAGTCTTTAATAAAACTAAAACTAGATTATGTTGATCTGTATTTAGTGGAAGCGCCATTTGCAATTAAAATGGAAAATGAAGAAGTTTTTAAGCGAGACAACAACGGAAATGCCTTATTAGACGAAACAACCGACCATGTAGCCATTTGGGAGGTCGGTATTCGACAACTAAAAACTTATCTTCAAAAACTTGTGATCATATACAACTTTTTAGATCATGGAAGAATTGATGAGTACCGGTTTGACCAAATCCATTGGCTTAGGAAATTTTAATGTCGATCAGATACAACATATTGTAGAAACCAGAAAGATGATACCACACGTGTTGCAAGTACATTGAAATTTCCAAAAGTCTTGTCCGGTTATAACTTTATGGATATCACCACTTACAGATTGAATATCATGTATATTTGCAACAACCCGAACTTATAGACTACTGCAGAAGAGCCAACATCACCTTATTAACCTATGCATCACTGGGCGCTGTAAATAGGCCTGACAAAAACCAAAGAATATCTATGCTAGATAAAGATGAAATTCCTATTTTGAATCTACCGGAATTGCGTGAAATCGCTACAGCACACAAAAAAACACCAGCACAGGTAGCATTTCGGTGGATAATTGATAAGAAAATGGCATTGACCGTAAAAAGTTCAAATAGTGAAAGAATACGCTCGAATATTGATATTTTCGACTTTTCACTTACCAAAGAGGAAATGGAGAAGCTTAACGCTTTAAATAGGAATAGACGTTTTGTGGACTTTTCGCAGTATAAAGGGTAAATAGTAAATACTTAGTTATGTAGTAAACGAGTTGCAAAAAAACACGGCTGATATAGGGACATTTTAAAATGAATCGGATAATTTTTTTTCAATTCGTTTGCAAAGAAGTCTCTTTAAATTATTGAAATAAATAGTGGATATTGTTAACATAATATTTTTATTTTCACAGCATCGAAAAGCATCCAGATTATCCATTTCATACGTAATTCATTTCAATAAACAAAATAATACATGTTCTTATGGAGTGCATTTTTATGGCTTACATATTCTCTATCGAATAAATTTTATTTTAAATTTTCAACTAAATAAAATGCATATCTTTGTGGAGAAACTATTTAGCAGAATGGAATATTATTTACATATTCCATTGAAATATTAAATTTCAAATTCATAAAAAGGGAGCATGTTTAAACTCATGATTCCAATTTTATTTGAAGCTTTCAAGTATTCATTGAACTCATTCATTCAATGATTAAAGTTTTCATTCTTCATTTGGTACTCGAGGACAGGAAATTATTCACAGCTGACTCTATTTTTTCCTATGATATCTTGAAACTGGAACGAATGAATGCATTTATTGAAAAAAAGTTAGATTTGAACCAAAACTGATATCTATGCCAGGAAGGCTTTCAGTATGACACATAATAATACATTTAAAAACTTTCTTCTTAGTTAATTAAATAAAGAAAAAATTTATTTGACGATATATCTTCAAAGAATTTGACTAGATTATTGCCTAAGCAACGCGATAATCTCCGAATAATTTTTTTCACATCGGACCACTATAGCATAAAGCTGCCAAGCAAACTGACCGATCAAACTCAAAATCAAGTTCTTGTATGGAAACCTTTTTATTTGTGAAGGGTATTCTAGCTTCGCTGCAACCGAAACAATTTTTTTTTGTTTTAATTTTTGTACTACTTCTAATGATTTTACAAAATTATGTGCAATATTTAGATGAAAGAATATATAAGTATGCGTAAGCCTCTAAGGTGATAATTCATTTTATTTTTTTGAACACACCATTTTAGAAAACGGAACATGTGTAATTTCATTTTTCGACATTCCACGACAATTTTATAAACATAAAGAAAAAAAAAAAACAAAATCTTTCAAAAAAAAAAAACACAAAATTATTAAGTAATTTTAAATTTGAATTGAGTGAAGCTCATCAACAGCGTGTTTTAGCATTGATTTTATTTTAAAAGTGCTCATTCGTTTATGCAATAAATGACTGTACCGCTTTGCGTAACGTTAAATGATGGCAACAAAATGCCATCAATCGGAGTTAACACGTGGAATGTTAGTTTTAAAGATCAACATGCATTCCCACATGATAGTATATAGCAATTATAGAAATACATATTCTAACATGTATATTTTCAGCTTGATATCGAGGATCTGGATTTCGTCATAAAGGAGGCGGTATTTGTTGGGTTTCGTCACATAGATACATCGGTTTTCAATTTAAACGAAAAACTATTGGGAAAGGTGTTGAAAAAACTCATGGATGAAGGCAAAGTAAAACGATCTGATTTATATATCACCACAAAACTCCCTCCTACAGGTAAATACATATGTATACATCATAGTAAGGCTATATATATAGTGGTGGGACGGACATAGCAGCAAAGAAAATTAAATTAAATTCATATTCAAAACATTAATTAGTAAGTGTTGTGAAAATATCGATGACATAAATTCGGTCTTCGTTTGTCCAAATTCTTGGCAAGAATCGTTAGTTGAAAGTATCACAGTATTTAGTACTATAACGATAATTCTTTTTGTTGAAACCATTTGGTGTTCTCATAATACTTACGTTTCATAAGAATTTTATGGACCGCCATTTTAGGTTTGACACTTGCTGGTGTTCAAGAGTGTTAGACCACGCGTGATGACAACGACGACTGGATTTAGACTTGATGCTATAATATCTTTATATATTTTATTCTTCGAACAGAAATCTGAAAACTTTCAATACATATAAGTTATAGAATTTTAGTGAAGAATTTAAAATTTGAATTTGTAATTATTTATTGTGCTTTTCTTTCTACTTTCACCATAACTTTATGCGCTAAGCCAATAAACCCGAATTCGTGGAGACTGCAATGCTACAATCGTTGAATAACTTGCAGCTGGAATTCATTGATCTTTATCTGATACAGTTACCCGTTACATTAATGCACGACGAGAGTTTCGAAATGATAAAACGGCAGAAGGATGGCTTAGTTTGTTTGGATAATACGGACCATATACTTGTTTGGAAGGTAATGTACGTTCCGTAAATAAGCAGGAATATTTTGAAGAACTTTTTATATGGACATATGTACATATATGCAAGTATTGTTAGAAATTGAATAAAAACTACAAACAATAATAATAATTTTTGATTAGAGAACAGGTGCAATACTTTGAACTTCTCTCTAGCTCCTCGTTGGGTCTAATCCTTATACCTAGATGTACCGACGTGTGACCTTATGTCTAGCTACGTGAATATATAAATGGTCTCGAATATAGGTGTGCTAAGGAACGATCAATTCAATTCATACAACAAGCCTTTGAACCGAGACGAAGACACTACTACATTGTCAACTGTTCCAAAAAAAGAGTAGTGATACATAGTTTTATGTTCTACGAAAACTCTTTTTTCATAAAAACCGCTTTGTACTTTATATTAACTTAATTAATAAAAAAGTTTCAATGTTTCTTGCAGCAAATGGAAGATCTGGTCATAAAAGGCCTGACAAAGTCAATAGGTTTGGCTAATTTCAACCAAAAACAGATCACCAATATACTTTGTAATTGCAGCATTCCACCAGCTGTTCTACAAGTGTGTCCCTACACCTGAGAAACTCCAAGTATTTAATTGCTTTACTGTTATTTCATGTTACAGATCGAATATCACATTTATTTACAACAACCTGAATTACTGAAATTTTGTCAGTTGCATCATATTACAATAACATCATTTGCATCACTCGGTACGTATGATATGCTGTCTTCCAATTATTTTATGACTAAACGCTCGCGTTTGCCGAGTTTGCTGGAAGTGCCCGAAGTGCAAGAAATCGCTAAAAAATATAACAAGACCGAATCACAAATACTTATGCGTTGGATTTTAGAGAAAAATCTTTCGGCTTTATTGCGAATGCACAACTCCAGTCGTATGCATGAAATTATGGGTGTATTTGAGTTTTCCATTGGAAGTCATGATATGAGAAAACTAGATGCATTAGATAGAAACATACGTTCCGTAGACTTCGGTTTCCTGAATGGGTGAGTCAATACATACAGGGTGTGTCATCTTTAATGTCGTTTTGTAGATATTTAATAGCTTTGAAGATATGATTTCGGGTCGAATGTTTGCCTTGAGCTCGTCATTGGTACGAGGATTGCTGGTGTATACTTTGCTTTTCAAATAAAAAAGTATGGTGCACCCTGTACTAACATGATATACTTTTAAATGCTTTTACTGAGTTCAATTTTTCACTATAATCTTATTTGGTTTCTTTTTAGTATTGAAAACCATCCTCAGTATCCTTTCTAAGCTGGTAAACTTTAGTAAACTGCTTTAAATATAATATACTTTCGATATTTATATCAATAATATGAAATAAATTATACTAAATAATTTGTCAAACATTTTTGATTGCAAATATCAATATTTAATGTTTCATGCGTATATACAACCTCAAAATACAGTGCAAAAATTTTGAAAATCATTTAGAAACTACGCCTCCCTCCATATAACGGTACTGTTCGAAAACTCTTAGAAATGCGATAACTTCAAAGAATAACGCAAGCAAATTATTGATAACACTATAAGTATATAGTAGGATCCCATGGAATTAATTTCGGCACATTAAATCAAATTTTGTTAATATACGATATCAGTACAAAATCATATATATTAACAAATATGGTAATAACTCTTTCAAAAATAGGTCAGATTTGTCTGCATTTTCTCCCGATCCCCGGAACGTTGTATGGTACTAAACATTTATTTAAAAACAATATTTATAACTTCTCGCCTCTATATATGTAATGAACATGAACGACAATGAAGCGAGTAATTGTTTTTACTATAAAATCGCATATTCGGAAAATGTTCTACGGATCTATCTCAATAACTTTGCTTAAGAAATTATATATCTAAATCCAATTTCGAACCCAGGCGAAGTTTATCTTTTAAGAATTATAAAAATCTATTCGTCAGTTTAACTTGACAGAAGAGATTGAAAAAATAACGGCGCATTGCAGAAAAGGTAGTAAACTTTTACGCAGTTTTAAATGAAGCATTTGAATTAAAAGGACCTTCATTTTATATTCTAATTTTGTAAAATTAGCATCAATTAACCAATAACCTCTTCAAAAATTGATGGACTCAAAAAATCCAAATTACGCGACCTTGAGAACATATGTCAAATATCTCAAGCTATAGTACTGGCTTTTCGCGTGTTAAAATTTTATTTGCAGAATTAGTGAAATTGGTTTATGTTATAGCCAAGTTGACACAACGACAGCTGTTATTTTTTCATAAATAGACCGCTTCATTTTCAAACTGTTAATCCACTCCAGCTCATCCTTATGCAAATTGTTTAATTATCCCATTATTTTATATTCATACACATGCACCTTAATAGGTTTGTATGGATAGGGGACTACGAACGAGGGTGCCGAACAAAATTTGTAAGTCAACTGCTGCAGTTAAATGCATCGAATTCGTTCAATTACGGTAATACAATTAGTTTTTAGGTTAGATAAGGCTAGTGCAGGGCCCTAACAAATTGCCGAATTTTGACAATTTTATCTGGGAGTAAGTATGTGAGTATACCATATGTTAGTTAAAAAAAATTTATCATTGATATTTTAGTACAAAATGGTGACTACTGGACCAAATAAAAGAAATCATCTTTTTAAGGAACTCAAGATTTAAGGAACTTTTGTTATTTGAAACCAAGTAAAAAATGAATTTTAATCTACACATGGCTTGCTAGTAAAGTAAGTAACTATGTTTTTATTTTTACATCACTTTTTCGAAAAATTATCGAACTTATAAAAAAGTTAAAACTATACTAACGTAGTTTACCAGATAAATATTTAGCTAAAACGGTCGACAGTTTCCGAGCACCTTCGTCGCCCGATTTGAAAAAACTAGCTATCCAAATAAGAGGTTAAGGTCCGGATTTATTTCCTCAAATCTAAAATTGAATGTTATTTTATAGAAAGAATTTTTTAATTATAAAACGGCTTTGAACAATTAAATTGAACCAAATTTCTTAACTGTAAAGGATCCTTCGATTCCTCACATTAACTCATAAATGTATAGAAACTGTAATTATGTCTATCATTGTCTTCCGTTTTAATCACATGTTCACATCCCAAGAGAAGTTTATGTATGCAACAAAAACCTATGAATTTTTAAAATATAATTGATTTTTGCCCTCATCAATTCACAGGCTAAAATTGTATAAAATATTCACACCTTAGAACTTTAAAAACACAAATTGGTTGCAAAATTGCTTTAATTGTTTCAATATTGCATGAATAAGCAGAGGCACAACAACCACTTATATAAACATTAGGGAGAGTCTTACATTTTGAACCTATTTAGTATAATGCAAACCAGCATCTTAATAATATGACAACACGTTTAATGCTGGGTAACATTTTTTTATGCCGAAATTACTTAAAATATATAATTTTTTTATGTTTTAAGATTTTATTATTGAAATCGATTTGTCTGAAGTCTTATCCGGAGATAACTGAGCAAAAAGCTCTAAATTTTCATGCCAGACAAAGCTACGACATACCGGCCAGAAAAGTGTCGAAATGAAGACGGTCATTATTTTCAAATTGAATTTTACTGGATAAATCTTTTAAAACGAAAGAAGAGAGGCAATGTTGTACAAAGTTTAATTTTTGTGGCTTCAAATTTTTTTTGGATAGTTTTGATTTTAAAATTTTAGTTATATGTATTTGTATATTTTCAATAGTTTAGGATACTTAATAAATTTTTAATTACATACACATATGTATGAAAATATATATTTCGATCGTTTTCAAACGTTCTACCCTAATATTCTTATCGTACATATTGATATATATACATAGCAATGTATACACACTGTATGTAAATAAATATGCATACAAAGTTTTTAAAACGCTTTTGATGCTATCGAGAGAAGCAGAATAAACATTTCCCATTTTTAATGTAATTAATAAAACAAGAGCTAAAGCGCAGCGAGGGCGCCAAAGTAAATTACTGGCTTGCTTAATACGCGTCGGTATATGAAAACCAGTATTTTTCACGACAATAAAGCTTAACGGTTGGCTAAAAGTGTCGTTGGTTGACACACAGTCAGCTTTCTTTCACCGCATTCAGAGTAGAATTGAACTCGGCGTGGTCAAGTTTGTTGTGCGCTGTGATTGAACACATACAATTTTGTACAATAAAAGATAATACAGATTTATTTATATTATTTATTTACTGATAATTACAAGATATGAGCGAGCAAAAGTATTTGAATTTGAACAATGGCTTGCGAATGCCAATACTTGGTTACGGCACTTGGATGGTAAAAATAATATATTATAATATATATATTTTTCATTTTTTAAATATACATTTTTAAGCTACATATATTATAGTTTTAAGATTTGTTGAAATCGATAATTTTCCACACTCTGTGAAGTTGAAAAAAAGTCGTTAAAAGGGGTGGTGTGTTTGCTTTCAAACAAGAACTTTTATAAAATAAATAATAGGTGGTCAAAGTTGCCGCGCCCCTATATTGTAACATAGTTTAATGTAGACATAAAGTTTTAGTGTACGTTAAGTGATTGCCAACAGAAAATCGATTATACACATTGGTTTAGTTACCTTACAATTGGTAAAAGTTGTAACCGTTATGTGATGAAAAAATATTGAAAAAAACGTTAACATTGGTTGCACCAAAGCTATAATATCCTTCAAATATAAAAAAAACTTTCCATGCAAAAACTTGATCTGAACAATTTTGTCGAAGATTGTAGCGTTGCTTTGGCCAATAATCCATGTTAAATTTCGTAAAGAAATCTTATCAAATAAAAAAGTTTCTCCTACATGGACTCTATTTTGATCGGTCGGCTTGTATGGTAGCTATATGCTATACTGGTACGATATCGGCGGTTCCGACACATGAGTAGATTTTTTGGGAGAAATGTACGTAGGCAAAATTTTGGAGCGATATTTTAAAAATATACCGACAGACAGACGGACATGGTTAAATCGACTCAACTCGTGGCAAACTTTATATACCCTGTTAGGTCTATAATTAATGAAATTCTTCTACATATAACATACGTACATATTGGGCAAAAGTATCTTACTAATAGGATCTGCTGCCTACTTTATTTTCTTTTGTTATAACCAAAACTTTTCCAAGAAAATTAGTTGTTAGTCGCCTCTATAAGTTTAAATACGGGTTTTTAAGGAGCTGAGAATGGCGTATATATAGCATTTCTAACGTTATCCCTTCTACACTGCGTGGTAATAAAATATATTCGAAAAAAAGTTCCTGAACAAGCGGTAGTTCAAAGTACTGTACTGTCTTCAAGTAAGTACTAGAAGTTATATCATTTAGGAATTGTAAAAGCAGTACAACAGCACCTTCAATTATATTGATGTTCATGGACAGCTAATCTTTAGAATGTAAAAAAGGTCCAAGAAAATACGGGGGTCTATTAGGCCTTATACTTAACTTTAAGTAATTTGAGACTTGCTTTTCATAAATATTCAGAACATTATAATTAGCCCTGACCTTACTCATTAATTTCAAAACATTTCTTTCATGTTTATAGAGCAGTGGCGAGAAAACATAAGAACGCCATTACAAATTACAACTATATTAAATCTAGACACATTATTATAATCAAATCTTTAAATAACTGTATAATTGTATGCAGTGAATAAAAAGATAAGTGAAAAAATGATAACGGATAAATAAATTGATGAATCAAATTAGCGTAATGTAATTAAAATTGCAACAAAGTAAATATTCTCTTAGTTTAACTACATATTATACAAACACACACATCAGGTGTATGAAAGACATTAGTTGTTCACTTTTAAAACCGGTTAGCGGTTTTTTGTTCCACTTTTTTGTGTGTAAATTACAGCTTTCACTAAGTATGCCCAAAGGTACACATAGAATATGTACCAAAATAGTTTCGGATGATGAGCCAGATTTAAAAAAAAAAAACAAAGAAAGAAACCCCACAAAACCGGCAGTTAAAATGGTTTGACTTTCAGTAATGAAAGGGTGATGGCTTTAGAGTGGCTTTAAACATCAAAGCAGTGACTTAGCATATTTATATATATTTACTTCATCAGTATAGAACATGTGGTATTTTCGATAAACATGAACAAGCACAAACAAGTTTAAAACTGCTTACCATGCGTTTAAGCGCAGTTTAAAAGCAACAGGTGTAGTTATGAATATAATTAATTTAATCGTTTCGTTCTTTACAGTATATTGACTTTTAATACATTATATATTTAGAAAAGTGTTCATCAGTATCACGACTGAGAGTACCCCTAACTTGCTTCTCAAAAGACACGACAGTGTTAGATCATTAAATATATCTATACTAATAACTCAGATTAATTTATATTTACACTGAGCTTAAAAAAACTGCAAAGCGCTTTCGAGAACTGTGGATTTTAATGAATTCGAAAATGCTTTAGTCACCTCATAACTTAGATGAACTCGAAAGTTCACAACAGGCACTGAAAACCTTTACAAGTTGTGAACTTTTTAAGTGGATACATTTATTAAAAAAAAGTTTTTTTCAAGATAATTAGCAATACCTGTAAAAGTTTTAAAAAATGTATTTCGTTTATTGAATTACTATAATTAAATTAGTCTTAAAATTTTACCTCACGAAGTCACTTGGGAAATACTAAGTTGTCTGCAAACAAGAAAAAACGCGGCCGTGGTGCAATTTTTATAGCATAAAAGGATTGAAAAAATTCTTTATCAGTTTGATCGGCCAGTTAAATAGCTATATGCCGAACTTTTCCAATGAGAAAAATGTGTGCGTGGATTGTAGTACTGTTTTTTGGTAATAACTTACAAAAAAGTACTTGATTTTCATTGATCAGTTTGTATGACAGCTTATGCTATAATGGTTCGATACCGACGATTCCGACAAATGAACAGCTTCTTGGGGTGAAAAATACTTGTCTTGAATTTCTGATTATATCTCAAAAACTCAGTTAGTTTTGCGTATATACAGACAGACAGAAGAAGAGTTTGTCTTCATAGCAAACTTATTATACCCTATTCAGAATATAAATATCGATATCGAAAAAGCCGTTACTTTGGGTACAAGTACTACTAAAACCTATTTGTATGAGGCAAAAGAGAAAATTAATGTTAAAACTATCTCCTGCAGAGGCGGTCATTCCCGGGCAAGTAATATCGGCAATTAGAGATTTACCTGACTGAAAACTCTCTTTCCCTAAGGCAAACGATATTTTTTCTGTTTTTAAACTATCTCAACTCATTTAACTTTGCAATAAATACTGATACTGACAATGTTAATTGTATTATTGGCAGATAATATTGGATTAAGCTTAGCACGTGTTGACAAACAAAAAGTGAAAACACCTGCCAGAAAATTGCACCTGTGTTAATATTTAATATTTTTATACATTTACCCCCTTGATAACTTAAACACAATTTCCAGAAAGTTAAAGATTTGTTAGAATAAGTCGTATTTTTGTACTCTCGCAACATCTTAATACAGAGTATAATAGTTTTCTTCATTTAACGGTTGTTTGGGTAGAAATGGTAGATATTGAGGTTTATTAAAGCAAACTTTGCAGCAAAATTGACAGACTTTTAGCTGAAATCCCATATTTGAGAGACTGCTCTACCAATTTCAACTAAATGCGGTGCCGAACATTGCTTCGGTATACTTACAGCCCATATAACACCGTTTTGATTCATTCATCTGATTCATTTACCATTCGATTAATAAATCATGTAGTAACGAAGATATCGGAAAAAACTTTTTCCAAATAGTGCTTTCAAAGTGTGGCGCATCCCAACTGAAAATAGTTGGAATCGCATCATAAATTTTCACGGCCTCTATTACCTAATATAAAGTCCTCAGTACCTATGGTTGACCTTCTACCGAAAACATTGGTCAATCTGTAAGATATGGGCATGAAATTCAGAGGTCATCTTTGAGACAAAAATGGATGAAATCGAGTCAGTACTATACCTCTCATAAACCTAATATAATGGTTATCAAACTTCCGGTTGACTTTATACCATATATGTATGTACATAGTATATCCATCAATATGTAAGATATCTTAGCAAAATTAAGTGAACGTATATTGTTAGGTATACTATAGTTTTATGGAAAAAATGGGTGAAATCGGTCAATTCATATTACCACAAACCCCATATACTAAATATTATGATATATATATTATATATGTCCGGTATATTGGACAAATTGTGTATATTGGACAAACGTTATTGAGCATAGTTTATTATAATGTCAGCGCAGACCTTCCACTAGACTTTAGTCGAAACACCAGACTCTTTATACAATAATTTCTACATATAAAGTTTAAAAGATCTGGAACCACTTTCTTACTCCTCACTTGCATATAGTTTTCTCGAAATGCTTCTTACATATGTATGTTCCATCGTTTTGAAAACCATCGAACTTCTTAGATTTTATAATAATGCGTAACCTTTGCCCTTGCTTCTTGTATAGGCTAGTGAGGAAGAAATCAACACAGCTGTAAATGAAGCGCTCAGGGTGGGCTACCGTCACATTGACACGGCACCAGTGTATTTAAATGAAAAGGCCATTGGAAATGTGTTAACCAAGTGGTTTTCTTCTGGAAAACTAAAGCGATCCGATTTATTTATCACTACCAAGTTACCACCACCAGGTATTTAAAAAATGTATATATTTCGTTTAGCAGTTGTGTATCTACAAAGAGCTCTTATTTTTACGACAGGCGCTGACAGACCCGATCTAGTTGAGCTGACATTGAGAAAATCGCTTGCGGATCTTCAACTAGATTATGTCGATTTATATCTAATACACACACCTATAACTGTGGTTGTAGACGAAAAGGGTGCATTCAAGCATCATGAAGATGGAACCGTAATTGTTGATCCTAGCACTGATCTTGTAGCTATTTGGAAGGTGAATGAAACATCGCAAAAGTCTATAATCTGTTTGAATATATCTAAAATTGTCGAATCTTTGTTTAAAGGAAATGGAGGGTCTGGTCGCAAAAGGCTTGACTAAATCGATTGGAATTTCCAACTTTAATGTGAAGCAAATCGAGCGGATTCTACAGAACTGCACCATTCAGCCAGCAGTCTTGCAGGTTTATATCTATATAATTAGAATTATTTTGAGGTTATAATACAACTTTGACATACTACTACTGTAGATCGAATACCACATTTATTTGCAACAACCAGAACTAATCGAGTATTGCAAATCTGCAAATATAGCCGTGACCGCCTACTCGCCGCTCGGCTCCAAAGGTGTAGGAAACTTGAACAAGAGCGCCGGCGTGGACCGCGAATTACCCGATTTACTTGAAGTGCCCGTGGTCAAGAAGATCGCACGAAACCATAACAAAAGTGAGGCACAAGTGTTGCTACGTTGGATTGTTCAAAAAGGTATATCGGTTATACCAAAGAGTACCAATTCTAAACGTATGTGCGAGAATAAGAATATCTTTGATTTTAAATTGAGTGCGGAGGAAATTGAACAGCTCAATAATTTGGATGCAAATGTACGTGTGGTGAATTTCTCATTTTTCCCAGGGTGAGTAAACCATAAGAAAATAATAATAATCAAAATTTAGAAAATACAAGTATATATTTTATTTTTTGTCTGCTTTCCCGTTACAGCGTTGACAAGCATCCAGAGTTCCCCTTCTAAGCGTTTTAGTTACGCACGGCAAATAACAACTGATTCACTCTTTTAATATGTATTGGAATATGTATGAATTAATGTTAACTGTTTCACATGAATAGATAGACCCTGGGGTGCACACATAAAATAGTTTATACAACAAAAAGAAAATAAACACATTATTTAAATGTTTCAGCAACCGGCATTAAAGTTTTTGTTATTATTTTAAGCTCGATGGCTTGGGGCTTTGCTGTGCTCAGATCTTTACTCTCCTCTTGCGCCGCAGATGAATTGTTGATAAGTGTATTGATTTCAGTGCTCTCCTTGCTCTCTATTCCTTCTGGCAACGTAGGTTCCACCTGGCTGGCTGGCTCCGACATCTCAATTTTCACATCTGTTGGTGGGTGAGTGTCACAGATCTCACCATTGTAACTGCTGCTACTGTACATACATACATACATACATATGTATATGATAATTTATTTTATAACTTGGCTCAAGATGTTATTTGTAAAATAGATATGATATGTGTTATCCGCTTTGTTAGCTGTTAGGTTAAAGAAACTAGGAGCGAAAAAAGTTTCTCGTTTGAAAATAAAGGCATATACATATTAGAGGCAATAAGTATTTATTATACAAAAGTGTTTACAATATTTGCAAAATAATGCATAAAATCGAGCCAGCTTTACAATTTAAGGAGTATTAAATGCTGTGAAGGGGCACACCTAGTGTCAAATTTCGAAAAAAATGTAATAACACTTTTAAAAATAGCATGCTTAAATTTTAAATTAATATTTAAAATATTTTTTTTGGGTTACAGTATTTTAAACTGTAGCCGTCAATAGTCAATGTAGGCATTTTTCAAATTTGCTGCAGTGATTACACGGAATCAAATGATCCGATCATTATCAATTTTTAATGTATATTCTGTATATCATTTTCCATACAATGACTTACTAGTTTTTTGATCTGACCAGAAATCGAATTTGGGCAGGCCAAAAACGACCAAACATTTGGGTAAAATTCAACTGTTTTTTTTAATAAATTTTTTGTCAATTTTTGTATTTCTTTTCGACCGTAAATCATTGTATAGTAGAGATTTTGGTAGAGAACTTTTTTTTTTTTGCTTTCATGCACAGAGAAGGCCGGAAATACTGCAGCAGTGTAGTACTCTTTTTTAACGCCGTCGGAGATTACGTGTAACTTAAAAAATTATAATTTTTTTCTTCAAAAACTGTTCATTCTTAAAATATATATAAATGTACCCTTAAAATTTTAAAATAATTGATACATAGAATTATTGAATTAAAAAATTCGAAACTCTGGTGTCCACTTAAAAATTGTGGCTTGCATAAGTTCATCTTTTCATGTTTTTTAATTTATGTGTTTTATTATCTGTGTGTTTGTAAACATTTATTTATTATTATTATTATTATGTTTTATTTATTATTATTATTTTTATTTATTATTATTATTTTTATTTATTTATTTGTGATAATATATTAGTTTTTTTTTATTTTTCAAAGCTTATTTTATTGATTTCACTTTATTTTAGTTAAATTTAGTTAATTACGTTTATCTTTTATTATTATACTTTTTTTTTTACTTTTTATTAATTTATTTTATATTTTTATTTTATAACATTTTATTATTTGACAAACTCTAGATTTCTTCATTGCATATTACTTTTAATCTCATTTTTTATTTCATACAAAATTAAATCTTAAGCTAAAACTATTATAAAATAACTATTCATTTTGTAAAAAAATGCAATACAAAAAACTCATTATATATATATATATATATATATACATATATATTTTGTTGATAGTGGGCGGATAAAAATTCGTTAAGCAATTTTAAATAATTATATTATTTGAATCTTACGCAAAATTAAATTTTAGTTTTACTTCTAAACAACAATTAAATGACAATAATGTACACAGATACCTGTAATGTCTTTTCATTGTTAAGTTCGTTTATCTTACTTAAGTAGTTTTATATTTCGAAATCTTCTGCGATTGCGTACGTTTTGTATGTCCACATAAATATATGTACATATAGTATAGCATATAGGAGTTTAGTACATTAGTTACAGAATCAGTTGATAATCTCTTTATCAAACTATTCGAGGTAGTTATGCCAATTGTTTAACAATAATACATTCATTGGAATTTTCAGAATATTGTTTCTTGCAATTAAAGTCAGCTTATAAACATTACTTTTTAGTACATTTAGTGTTAATAGTCATAAAATGAATGTCTGCGTTCGCTGAAAATACAAAGGGATAATAAGGCAATGCAATTTCAAATTTTAAAAGCCAAAATAATGTAATGAAATGGAATTTCATGCAAACATCTATTTTAATTTGACTTTTATTTTTTCAAATTAATCTGTTTAATTGTTTGTTAAATTAGCGCTTGCGCATGTTAGCTCTTGATCCAATGAATGATTATGGATTGTTTTTTAAGTATTAAATAATTAACTGTCATAAGTTAAGGATGAATTAGCCTAAATATGTTATAAGCAGCATGTTTTTGGCATTAAGATAAATACACATTACTGCGATTTACAGTTATTTGCGTTAAATGCGCATGTCATTTAGCATATGTCAATGCGTTTGTTAGGCAACTCACGTCGCGCGGGTGTCCTCATCGGAGCTGCGCCTACAGATAAATGCACCTTTATTAATTTTTTACTAGCGATTAGTGTAACCAAAACACTCACCTTGCATCTTCGTTGGCACGCATGGCTACGGCAGCCACTTCAAATACGCCTATGAAAAAGCAGAGCATTAACGGTCCGAAGATCGCGCCTTGCCAGCCAATCCAATACATGCCGCCGGCTATAGCCAAACCAGTCAAATATGGATGTCCACCACTGAACATTTAAAATAAAAGTAATGTTTATAAAAAACTAGAAAAAAAATTAACTTCGGTTGCAGAAAAGTTATTATAATCGTCACAGGTGCATTTTTGTATAGCATAAACATCTTCATTTTTATCTGTGTTTATATGGCAGATGTATGCTATAGTGGTCCGATCTAAACAATCTGTCCTGAGATTACACCGTTGCCTTCGATAATGAACTGCGTCGAATTTCGTAGGGATATCTTGCCAAATAAAAAGGTGTTCTTTACAAGGACTTGCTATTTATCGGTCACTTTGTATGGCAACTATTTCATATACATAGTGGTCCGATCCGAGCAATTTTTTCGGAAATTGTATTTTCCGTGATTTCGATGTATATTTCGTGAATATATTTCGTTATATAAAATTTTTTTTTTTATAAAAGAACTTGATTTTGATCGGTCGATACTGGTGGTTCCGACAAATGAACAGTTTCTTAGGGAGAAGAGGGCGTGTGTAAAAGTTCAGATTGATATCTTAAAAACTAAGGAACCAGGAAATACGCTACCAGACGAACAGATAAACGGACATCACTAAATCGACACAGCCCCTCATCTGATCATTTATATATATATATATATATATTATAGGATCTCCGACGTTTCTTTCTGAGTGTTATGAACTTCGTGTCAAATTTAATATACCATGTTCAGGGTATACAAATATTTACAAATTAGTATAAAACTCACCCTTTCATCTCCGCATAGATGGCGGCCTCGAAATAGGGTGGCACAAAGAATTGCAATAGGAAGAGCACAAGTCCGGCGTAGAAACGATCTTGCGCCAACCACAACTCCAACAAAGCAGGCAGTGAACACCAATAGCTGCCCAGAAATGGTGCTGCCGACAAAATGGCCGCCAGCGCCGACGGCAGGAAGACAATGCGAGCGCCAAACACTGTATGCACCAGCCATGTAAAGAGACCCGTGAAAATGGAACATTTAAACATGGAGATTAGTACGCCTGAAATGGAATTCTCCAAAGCATCGGCGATTTTAGAGCCGGACGTTGAGAAGCCCAAATATTTGGTAACATGTAGCGGCGCATATTTCGTATTACTGCTCGAAAGCAAATAGAATAGCGCGGTAAAGAAGACAATCTGCGTGCGAGAGTAAAGGGAATTACAATAATATTAAATTACCATATAAAATGTGTGAGTATCAGTAGATTACGTACCATATCAAGTATGAACTCTACACATGCCTGACCGCCAGACAGTAGCAAAGATAAAATATCACCCGTAAAGCTCATGATCATCGAGAGATTCGTGCGTATGATGTGCCACAGAGATTCAGCCACTTCCAGTATGGTTTGTGTATTGCTCTTCGCCCAGCCGATAATGCCCTGTTTTGCCACTAAAACTAGCTCTTTAAAATGTCCTTTATTAAAAACACATTGCAATTGGTTAGCTTTTGAAACATGCAGTGAGCAATGAGCAAGTACAACAACGGGAAAAACGAACCAAAGAAACGAAAATCCTTCTTAGTATATAAGTATATGTATGTACATACGTGTGTATGTACATTTGAAAATATCGTTGACAAGTAGCAGGAAGTCCCGTTATCATTGCATACTTAACGCGCTGATGTACACACTTCGGTTGCGCGAAAGTTTCTTTTGGTAAACTTTGACAAACTCACTTTATTATGGCTGTAATAATTTACTTTTCATAAGGCGTTTCTTCAGAAAAGCCTCGCCTAGTTTGCTAGCTTAAATATAGCCTTTTCTGAGCCTCAAACTTGGCATGGTAGAAAATTAATTAAGATTTTACGGCTGGTAAAGCTTAAGGGGGAAGGAAGTATTTTATTTTTTTTCCGATTTTTTTGTCTTAAATTAATGCACAATAACTAAAGAATGTCGTGTCTGAATTTCAGCCAATCGCAGCTAAATTACAAATAATATTTTTCATTTTACAACCACAAATTAACAGATCTTTTGCGAAAAATCGCGTTTTTTCCGTCAAATTGTTACCATAAAGTATAAAATCGAAATTGAAAATTCCACAAATTCCTCTTTAAAGTATTATAGATATGCTATTAGCATGGTAGAATATCAATTAACAGTTTATGACCGATTAAACTTAGTAGAAAGTTTGTGCGCTTTTGTTAAAGTTTAGAAAATATGAACAATGTGGAAGTGTGAATGTGAAAAAAGAAAAAACTTATTTTCCGACACCGATATTTTTGTAGATGAAGTTAACTTAATTGAATTAGTAAATATTTCACTATTTTCTTTAAAAGTGCTAAATATAAATTCGCCTTCTTTCGAAAATGCCACTTTTACGAAAAGTATTCCTACATTGTATAAAGAGTATGTAATTACGTATGTTTTTTGTATGAGCATAAATTTTGCAATGTGTAAAATATAATACAATATTTTTTGAAAGCATATTGTTAGTACGATTGTCATTGCATTTGGATCATAAGTGAATTAAAGAGACAAACACAAATGAAGCAACTGCATGTGGAAAATTTTAACTTACCAGGATTATCAACAATTTCACCGAAAGTCGTCTTGAGCGCATCAGTTGGCACACGTGGTCCATATGCCGAATCAGATTTGTTAACATCAATCCAGTACTGTATTAAACGATCCCAGACATCTAAAATTTGTTCCTTCAGTTTAGTGGCATGTACTGAATCGGCTTCGGCCAGCCAATCATCGATGTACGTTTCGATTTTTCGACGTCCATAATGATGTGCATTATCCAATGCATCATCAATGGATGATTGTATATTCTCAGGTAATATATCGATCAATTCCGGACGATCAGTAATGGTTTTGTTTATGAGATCTTTGCCCAAGTAAGCAACTTCAATGGTTTCTGAATAGATGTTGACACAGAAAAATACGCCGAGAAAAACGATAATTAACAGCATTAGTATGATCATCAGTATCGAAGTGACCAAGTCAACGGAGGACTTCAATGAATCGCGTATTATAGCGTTTATTTTGTAATTCAATTCAAGCACACCAGGCAAACAGAGCGGCAATACGGCAGAATGATGCTCAATAGCCCAACACTGTGAGGTCAATGCGAAAATATGGTTTAATTTGAAATCATTGGCATTTAAAAACAATAATACCTTTAAGTTTTCATAGGTTTCATCAATTTTATTTGATATGAACGCCGTAAAACCAGTCACATTCCCTAAGGTGTACAACAAATGTAGCGATATAGGTATGGCGGCTAATATGAACATCCACACATTGCGATACAAAAATGTTGCTATACATGCGTAGAATAAGCATTTGAAGTAGATGCCACTTAAGTGTGGCACCTCATTTTCATCCAACAACTCGGTATTGTCCAGCGAATCTAGTGTTTCGCTCAGGGAGACATCTTCGGCGTCAGAATGAAAACTTTGCTTCTTCACACTGATGTTGCTTACTGACTTTTCAAAGTCAGTTTTGTCCAGCAATTTCTTCAACTTTTCTATACAACTGCTAGACCCGTCCGCAGTTCGCATATGGTATATAATTGATACACCTACATATAACATTATCAAAATAAAGGCAGGTACTTGTAGCGCGCCTAAAAAGCTGCAGCCATAACTAACTATAGCCACCCAAAGCGATTGGCCAGCCATGACGAACTTGGTGCTGTTTTCTGGTTTCCACAAAAAATATACTGATGTTAAGTATACAACAATTATTGCAATTAACTGTAAAATAAATTATGTGAATGCTTGTTGGATTTACCGTTCAATATAAGTATGAATACTCACCAGGTAGATATTAAGAAAACCAATAAACTGCACGAAGGTACTATGCGAGAAAAGTACAAAACGCCAAACGGCACAGAGGAACCCTTTGGGAGCATATAACACCAACAATTTGATACATGCAGCTACGCCCACGCCTGCTGTCAACCACTGCCAGTGTTCGTGCAACCAACTCACCACTAAACTGCCACAATGTTCGGTAGCTTCAAGTGGTGCCAAACATATTGATACCATCACATTGGAATCGCGTTCTTCCAAGCGTTCAAACCAACCATTAAGCAATTGTGCTAAACGTCTCTTGAAAGGGAAGAGCACTGCACCCATCAAGAAAGCCCAGAGTAAAGGACGCACAAAAGGACCCAGTATAAAGCAGACGGCAACAAATGCAGCAATTCCAGCAGCTATTAAAAAATTATACATGGCTGCTTTGAAGGTTTCATGATTCTGAGAACGCATACGCATCAACTTGTTAAGAACGCTGTCAAAGGAGCGATCGCGCCTAATCGAGTCAGAACGATTCATTTTGCGTGTAGAAATTATTAACTATTGTAGGACATTCAATTAATCGCTGTAAGAGAAAGTTATATTTAAATTAAAAATTCTACATAATATAAAAGTGTAGATATGTACAAACATTTTAATTTAAAAAGTTAATTTAGTTTATTATCATCTAGTTCTAAAGCATAATTCTTTATTGATATTCAACTAAAAATAGCAATATTTTGCTACAGATATGTAGCTAAATGTGTACTGATGACGTATGCCACTTCGACCACACCTACCGCCTTAAATTAACAGGTTGGCTTATACGAATAACGGCTAGAATTTTGTATCAAAACCTTGGTATGTATTATTCACAAAGTAGAAACAGATCACTTTGTATTAAATATATTTGAACAAATTATTTTCAAGCAACGAAACGAGTATACAAAGATGACGTCAGTGTACTTGACACCCTTTTAAAAAGTTCGGCTAGTTAAGTATGATTATAGCCATTTAGTTTTTTTTTAGCAATAAATCACTGATATCGTTGTTTTTACACTGCTTTGCAACACTACGCTTTATCCGGCTTGATTTAGAATTCCATATTTAATTATAACATAATTTTATTCACTTGTTATTTTCGGCCGTCCTAATCAATTTGTTTTGTACCATGTTTATTTTGTTTACATCATTTAGCATCCACTTTTTATCAAAGCATTCAGTGTTGTCATAAGCTCTGAGCAGTGTGAATATCAGCTGTTGTGGACAGTAACTACAATTATATTATCAAATTTAAAAATTTGTATACCATAGAACTAAATAATTTAAAATATATGTTACTAAAGAATATAGAATTAAGTAAACTTAAAAAATACAATGCCATAAAATATTTTATAGCAAGAAATGCGCTTAATACCTATTAAGTAATCACTAAAAATTGTCTACAAGTAATCGGATCGGTAACATCCCCCTAATAAAATATTAAACAACACTAATCTGCACCGTCGGCACTTTAGAAGATTTTTGGCACGTAAATTTTCAATACGGTGTAGAATTTTCTTAGATTAGTTATTAATAAAGGTTTAAATTATGAAGATTTTTATACATGTTGTGCTGGTAATTTTGCTCTTGCAAATGCATTTGGCCATTGGAGATAAAAAACAAAGCAAGAAATATTCTCGTGAAGCTAATGAACAACAATACACACAACAAAAACAACACAAGTCGAAAGAAAAATCTTATGAAGCCGAGTTGAAACTTACAACTGAGCGATATGACCCCGACTTCCGTAATCTACAACGACCTTTCCGAATGGCCAAACTAAATTTGGTCTGGGCTAAGGCACAAAATGTGAGTGATAACAATACTATACACATACCTAAATTAGTTAAAAATCTGTATGAATAATATTATTTTGTATATAAATAGAGACTGACTGAGCCAAAATTAAAGTCTTTGTACATGGAACTCAAAATACAAGATAAGGAAGAGATCGCATGGAAACAATTGAGTTCACAGCATAAAGATAAAGAAGGCATTAAAGAAGCTGAACTGCGCCAAAAATTGGTTGGTATAATGAGCACGTATGATTTGTTGGAACATTTCGAAGATACGCAAGATAAAGACAAGGTTAAACCATATAAGGTACATAGTATATGGTTTATATTTATAGTTAACAACAACATAAATAATTGAAAAAATAATTAAATGCTTCGTAACATTAACTTTTTTTTAGAAATTTTATGACCCAGAAGATAGTCATTTGAATAAAAGTGCATTTAAGGACAAAAAACTTAATCGCCTTTGGGCTAAGGCGGAAGTAGCGGGATTCACTAAGGAAGAACTGGATTCTCTTAAGGAAGAATTTCAACATCATCAAGATAAAGTCGATGTATACTATAGTTTATTAGAAGATATAGGTTCAACGAGCGGCCCAAAGCATGAAAGTATGTGATAATAAATAATTTCTTATACCTTCATTATTAATTTTAAAATTTATAGATGCCATAAATGAAGAAGAGCTTGATATATTTAACATGGTCGCAAATGATCCGAATGAAAATGAGATAAACACTCCTGAAATGAATTTGAAAAAATATGAAAGCGATATAAACAAGTTGCGCGATCACCATCATGGTATTAAGGATCATTATGAACGACTGGAACGTTTGGTTTCTTCGGGACCGCATAGTCAAGAATTTGTTGAACCAAAAGTACAAGGCCTATGGCGTGTTGCACAAGCCAGCAATTTTACAGAAAAGGAATTGAGTTCAATTAAATATGAATTGCACCATTTTGAAAGCAGGCTACTCAAACTTCGCAATCTGCATGCTGAGCATGCAATGCAAAAAGAGAAATACAAAGTAGGTTCTCGAAATTAATGGCTTCCTATCATTTTTAATAAAATATATTTTTACAGAATGAGAAGCAAAATGACAAAAGTGGTCGCTTCGAAGATATGGAAGATCATATTAAGAAACAAACGCGTAAAGTGGAAAAAATCCAAGATACTATTGAAAAAACTATATTCAGACATTCGGAGCTGTAGTGTCTTCTTAAATTGCTGACTGGCGTACCTTTCAATACTTTTGCAACAAAATCGAATAAAATAATTTAATATATAAGTAAATGGATGCCAAATTTGCATAAATATTATATGGAAAGGGTTCATTAATCTTATTCCATATAAGATAGTATATACAAGAAACATTATGTATGTATATACTTTAAACATTTTCATATGGTTTTTTGATACTGTTGAATTTATCTCTGCCAAAAGGTCTTTAATAATAAACATATTATTTTTCGTGTTAAAAAGTATTAAGTAAATAGTTAAATACCCACCATAAAACTTTTTGTTAATAATAATTTTACAAACATTTGGGAATCATGAACCCATTGTTCTGGCATAGTAACTTATTTTTTTCGTATAGGATATGTGAGTTAAGTTCAAATCTATTTTTTCGATGACAATGCTTTATGGATTGATAAAGGATAGCTCTTGGTTATTCTGACGAATTTAATCAAACATACGTTGTATCGAACGTAGCAGTAAACAAACGACACTTTTTTCGACAGCAGTAATATAATAAATTTAATTTTTTTCATATCCAAAAAAATTTCATTATACCAGGGTATTAGATGTTTTCTTGCTCAATTACTTCTCGCGTTGCACTTCAGGCAACCGTTTAGGTACATTTCCTTAAAGAAACAATGTCCACCAGAAATTCTTTGGCACATTTTTTATTTCAGTAATATTTATTTTTCTAACTTCACTATCAGAATCATGAAAGAAATCGCCAGCACAAATTTTATATTTAAATAGTGTTTGGCGGGATACAGTTTTAAGGCCACTTATATAGCTCACAAATCAAAACCATATACTTTGATGAAACGTAGTGGCACTTTAAAAGTAAATTTATATTTTTACTAAATACTACACTTTTATAGATAAAAAAATTAATTAATTACAACAAATTCAATAATTTCATAATAATTTAACAAAATTTTAAGGAAATTAAAAATGCAACCCTTAATGCTATTTGACATTTGCTTTTGTTTCTGATATCCGTCGTATAGTTCGTCATCGTCGTATTTTTTGCAGTCGAAAAATGTGAGCTCATATTTATTGGAAATATTTTCATTATATTGGCACCATAAGTATATTTTAAATTGACAGAAAGTGGACAAAATATTTAGGTAAATTTGAAAGAAGTGCATGTGGACAGTGAAGGTGTTTTTATTACGGTAAACTGATCAGGAGGGAATCACACGTCAGGGCGCTCCCAATTATGTTGTAGATTGCGTCGAAGTCGCTGCCGATGTCGGCGCTGACGTCTATTGACATATCTGCAGTAAATACGTTTTGGGCGACAACACCCGCGAAGATATTTTGCAGTTGCATATAGACAAACCCACTTGAATAACGTAAATATTGTAAATAATTATAATAATTTCTAATTTTAGCGGTATCATCTTATTTTTGAACTGTTGCCGTATGGTCGGTCATGGCCAGTGAAAACATAATGGACGAATTAGCATCATTAATACGTACGGAAATTCCGGATGGCAGACAAAGCTTGCGTGATAGTTATACAAATTTGGAACGTGTTGCAGATTACTGTGAGGACACGTATTATCGGTTAGTACCAGAAAAATTAAAATATTTCAATACGTAGTAATTAATATTGCATTGCTTTAGTGAGGAGAACAAAAAAGCTGCACTAGAGGCTACCAAAAACTATACAACGCAGTCATTGGCCAGTGTGGCATATCAGATTAATACCCTCGCTTATAGTTATATGCAACTTTTAGAGTTGCAAGCACAACAATTATGCGAAATGGAATCACAAATGAATCATATTGCTCAAACAGTGCAGATTCACAAAGAAAAAGTGGCACGACGGTAATATTATTATGTAATTTTGTATATGTATAATATATAAGTATATTCATTGCAGTGAAATTGGCGTTCTCACCGCTAACAAAGTTAGCTCCCGACAATTTAAAATAGTTGCGCCTATTAATCCAGAAAAACCAATCAAATATGTACGCAAGCCAATTGACTACTCGATACTAGATGATATAGGTCACAGTGTTAATTCTACGCAAACACGCCAACAAAAACATCGTGGATCCAGTCACGGGTCTATACAATCCTTGGCAACATCTTCGCTGGCACCTTCTGTAGGTCCGCCACCAACTACGAAACCACCAACACCACCGCAAATGACACGCGGAAATACTGGTACACTGGGTAAATCGTCAATGAGTAATACCGGTACGCTTGGTAAAAGTTCGCGTGAATATCGAACGCCACCGGTTGTAAATCCACCTCAAGTGCCTTCGCACTATGCACCCAACTATCCAATTGGGCATCCAAAACGAATGTCATCAGCTTCCTCAAGCACAACAGTCACTGGTATTAGTAGCATGGGTATTGTTGGCCCGGGCAGCATTAGTGGTGCGCCAAGTGTAGTTAGTGAACGTGGTGGTGGTTATAGTGCATTGCCTATGCCGCCTAGTCAGCAAATAGCAACACATGTCAATTTACCATCAGCAGGTATGATGCAATCTTTGCCACCACCACCGCCAACAACATACGATGACCGAAGCAGTATGCCGCGTAAGTGTAAATTTCCTATATTAGTTAAATAATTGCACAGATAGACTATATTAATTAATGATTAATTGCATTTTAGCGCCACCGTCGCCACTCACTGTTTCACAACATGAAATTAGTGAGCAAAGTCACATTGGCATGCACACACTGGGCAGAAATCACAACAGGTACGTTACATAACGGTGCTTACTGTTAAGCTGAAACTCGACAACTGTCAAAATATACAAATGCGGTAAAAAATTAAATATGACTCATATATGTATTTTAGTGAGTTCGAAAATTGTTATTTTAGTATTTAAACAAATTTTAATAAGTTGTCGAGCTTCGATTTTAAATTATGTTGTAAAATATAAGAAGAAGTGTTATTCATTTACATATATTATTTTATAATTGCTCACATTAAGGAATGGTAACAGGTAAATTAAAAAATATATATACAATATTTTATCGAAAATTACAAATATTTTATAGAAATAAGTTAAAAATACCTCACATCTTTTGGTTATGGAACATAATACATTACATCACAAAACGATTTTTTCGGTTAAAGTCTTGAAATCAGTTGTTTTTCTTACATTTTGAATAACTACTTCTTATCTTATAAAGTATTGTTTGTCCACCCTTTTAAAGAAATAATTTCAGTGTGAACTTTGCAAGACCTGGCTCACAGTCGCCACCACTACCACCTCCACCACCACCAGAGGAGGAACATCAGGACTTTGGACGGCCACGCACATCAGCAGGGCAAGGTCAATTGGCGCCTATCGTGCCCGAGGATCAGAATCTACCCGGTTGGGTTCCGAAGAATTACATCGAAAAAGGTACGTATATTGGAAATTCCAAAAACAAATATAAATGTGTACAAATGTTTTACGTTAATTACAGTTGTCGCAATTTATGATTATTATGCTGATAAAGATGATGAATTGAGCTTTCAAGAAAGCTCCGTATTGTATGTGCTAAAGAAAAACGATGATGGTTGGTGGGAAGGCGTTATGGACGGTGTAACCGGCCTGTTTCCGGGTAATTACGTGGAGCCATGTGTATAAAAATGTGCTAGCGTGTAGCGTGTCAATGACACTTAGTGGTTTTTAAGTGGATTTAAAGTAAAATAGCTGAAATCACACACGTGCACATATGTATGTACGTATGTACACTGCCTAATTCATAAAACACTATGCCGCCAATTGGTATTGAAAGTATTTATATAGAATTATCACAATTACCAGCAAGTTATATTAAAAGGTATATTATTAGGCAAAGCTGAGTGTTAAACAATTCCAATATCTAACAACAATAGCATTAAATAGTCTGCGTATAAGTGCGCAGTTATTCCACATAGTTTAAAATTAAAGAAGAAATTAAAAATTAAAATAACATCGATAATAATAATAACAATTAAGCATAATATTGATGAATGTAATGTTAATGATGTATGTTCTTTGGCCACGAAATTCTGCGCGAAAACTAAAACACATTACCGTTATACCACGCATAAGCTGTGCGGCATTCTGTTTCTGGCAGAAGTCTCAAGCAAAGGACGTACATTCAACATAAAACATTTTATAGCATTTTTTTTACAAAAAAAAAAAAATATAATATTAACAATGAAGTAAACACGTCGTTAACCTCATTCAGATGTATGAAGCACAGATAACGAAAGTAAATTTACATAGAGAACAATAATATATTAGCTGCAATTAACTGAATTAATTCAATTATGTATTCTAATTATATCTTATAAGTATTTGTGTATGAGGCGCAAAAATGCTCGCAACGATTCCTTTTTATACGCCCACATTTGTATGTATGTATGCAAATATTTTATAAATATATGTATGTCTTCGAATTATACAACACCCATACTATATACTATACTATATACTATATACCTTGCATAAGCGACATTAAACGTTTGTGTGCTCCCACAAAAGAAGCCAGAGGCAAAGCAAAAAATCGTATGTGGTTAGCACAGTGTTGTGTTGGCATGAACTAATGGTTGAAAATGCACACAAACGCAGATATGTATAAGCATTTACCACGCAATAACTGGTTTCTTTGAAAAGTTAGCACATAGCGTCAAACTATTTTGTATGCATTGTAATTTTTTTTAAATTTATTTAAAGTTGTCTATTTGTACACAAATTTTTGCATAAATCAAATACTTTATTACCTCCTGGTTTAGCTTATGGTCAATTATCTATTATTATTATAATTATATGTTCACAAATCTAGCTGCACAGGTGGTAAGTGTAAATACCAATACTCCTGTATAAGCCTTTGTTATGCTATAATTTCATTTATATTAGTTAAACGTGAATTTATTAAAAATACAAATATATATATATATATTTACCTTTATGAAAGTAAAAAAAAAAATGAAATGATAAGTACGCATACGTATATTATTACTATTGTATTAACTTAGATAATATAAATAATCACACTGGAAATAAATGCTAAAGATGGAATAAAAAAAGTGTAGTTTTTCATTAAAAGTGGTACTTCACTTCAATTTCCATTTAATATTTTTGTCTTTCAGTTTTTGAGATATCCATATGAAATTTGGCACACGTCCTTTGCTCACCAAGACGCTGTTTATTTATGTTGTTGTTTGGATGATAAGTTATAGTTTGGTTTTCGTCGAGGTCATCTAACGGGAAGCTCAAGAAACGAGCTGTTTCGACGAGGTCGGACCATAGGGAATATGGTGTTAGATTAGTTGGGTTTGTTGGGCATGCAAAGAGGTGGTTAGTATCATGCGGATACTCATTGCACGCAGGACATATGTTTGGAATGTCTGAGTTCTATTCTGGATAAGTAGATTTCTGCGAAAAAACCCCAGCAGAAACTGTTTGGAGAGGAGCTCGTTATGTTCCTTAACCGGAATCATAAGGGGCTCACTGTGCAGGTGTTCTATTGGGGACATCAAGAGACATCCTGTAATAGTCCGAAGTGCAGTGTTTTGACAAGTCTGAAGCTTCTTAGTCTGAGTTGCATCCAGTTGTTGTTGTTGTTGTAGCGGCAGAATTCTGCCGAGTTGACAGTCCTTGGCCGTAATAAATCCGGGTCTGTTCCGGTTACGTAGACCCGACTGTCGTGGGAACGGTATTACATCCAGTCGACCTTATTGGTGAAGCATAGTTTAGGATTGGCCAGCCGATTGCCTTGTATGTTGCCAATAACGTTTCTTTGTCTTTTCCCCAAGAGCTGCCGGCAAGCGATTTGAGGATTTTGATGCGGCTTTGTACTTTGGCAGTTATCACGGTCGTATAAGGAGTGAGGGAGCACAGAATATCTAATGCAACGCCTAAAAATTTTAGGGTTGTTGACTTTCGGAGTTTTTGTGTCATCGACTGAAATTTTTAGATCCAGTCTGTACTCCTTCTTCCAGTTTGTGAATATGGTCGCTGTGTATTTAGTGGGGGAGAGTGCCAGACTCCTTGCAGAGAAGAAACGAGAAAGGTCGAAGAGATAGCAGTTTACTTTCGAGCATATGCACATGACAATATCGTGCAGTCGTCAGCGTACGAGGTCACGGAAATGCCCGCTGGTGGTTGAGGGAGTTTCGAAATGTAGAAATTAAGCAGTAGTAAGGAGAGAACACCACCCCGCTGAACCCCCTGTTTAATTCTTCTAAGTTTAGAATTTTGACCTCGAAACTTATTCCGTCAGGGCCAATGGATTTAGATGATTCGGCCTTTTTGATGACACTCTGAACCTCCCCATCGGTGAAAGTAAATAGTGCGCAGTCTTTTGGCATTTTGCGCAGCCGTCGGGTAACACATCGTTTGGCCTTGTCGGTCGAAGGGTGCAGTGTAAACTGCCGGCTAAAATAGCTCACGTTCGTTATGTTTCCTCGGATTAGACAAGGCCTTGACAGTAGTCCAAAGCTTACTCACACCGGTGGAGAGATTGCAGGACTTCAGGTGCTCTATCCATTTTGTCCGCTTATGTTGATTTACCATTTGCCGATTCTCCAAATTGAGATCCCTTATTCGGGGATCAAAGGGATCGGCATGGCGTAGGGTATCCAAAGATGGTGCGCGTTAAAGTCGCTTAGCACCAAACGGTTTTCACCACGAAGTAGCGCACCTATGTTCGGACGATATCCTGTTGGGCAACATGTAACTGGGGGGATGTATATATTAAATATCTCGAGCTCGACATCGCCAGACCGGACAGCTATACCCAGACATTCAAGGGTAGTGTCCCTGCGGTCGATGTCACCCTAGATTTGACGATATTGCACGGTGTTGTGCAGTGTGAAGGCTAGGCTTTTCTCTCACTAAACCTTTTTAAGAGATGCTACAACCCTATTCGGTTCATTTGCTTTATCGTTGAGCTTTTTATACCTGTGGATAAGAACTAAGCTTAGTCAGATGTCGCTTTGCCCTGGCTCAGAGATTGGTATTATATTGCATATTGCTGAAAACAGCTTCGCGGTTAGACCACAGTCCTTTCTGAGCTTACCTATGTAGTTAAGGTGATGTTCTTGTTCCTTTTTATGATTTCGTCTTTACCACTTTCTCTTTTTTATGAGCAAGATGGTTAGTTACCTCCTCCGTTCGCTTAGTTTATTCAGCACCTTTTTGTGTTTTTGTCAGAAAATACACCATTTCCATAGATTTTGAACACATTACACTCAGTCTTATGGCCAAAAACGACACATTTCAGGCTTACACTGAATTTATTATTTTTGGTTTGATATGCGTTTGTGCGCTTTATTTCAAATTCTATATTTATTATTTTACATTAAATTGCAAATTTCATTTTAAAAGTATTGTACCATAACCAAGAGTTTCTACCTCTACCTTTTGAACTTGCCTTGTTTTTGAGAAAGAAAAATAAATAAAAAAAATGTATCATACTTCCCTGAGCAAAAACTTATTCATTCGACTAGGCCTAATTTCCTACAAATAAATTAATTTTTTTCGTTTTTATAGGCTGTGTTTTTCGGTTGCTCATTGTTGGGTCTTAAGTGTTGTTGGGCGCATGTTTAGCCATTCGTATTGAGGTGCCACGTCGTGTAGCTGGTGTAGTTGTCGCGGATAATTTCGGTAAACGTGGATTAACAAGTGGTCCCATGTGTCGATCTGGTCCATCTTGAAAAGCGCTAAGTACTTGACTGTCGATCGGTGGCAACGGTGAACCAGGCGACCATTCAGAGCTGGAACTAGAGCCGGGTGATTCGGAACTGTAAAAAGTAAAAAAATATTACATATATGCGATAGAAGGTAATGCTGTGATGATATATGTGTCTGTGATTTTGAATTTCTATGTGTATTTGAATTTCTCAGGTAAAAATTTCTAGATATTCAAAAACTTACCCAGCTGTATAAATTGGCGGCAATTTGCGCTCATAGGATGTGGATGGTGTAACAACGCCAGCATGTATTTCTTGCTGGTATAAACCGTAAAGTTCGCGTAGCTCGTCGGGCAATTCGACATTGCCTTCTTCAATCAAACGACGTTGCGAACTTATGATATCCTCACACAAACGTCGCTGACGTTCGGCGCGCAAAAGCTGTAGGTCACGTCGTCTCAGCTCAGCCTGTCTTGCTAGGCGTTCTGCTTGAAGCGATACCTTGTCGGCTTCCAATTCATGCACGCGGCAAAGTAGTGCCAACAGTTCGCGTTCTTCATCGCTGGTAATGCGTTCCGGAAGTTCCTACATGGATAAGACATTTCGGTAAAAAGCTTTATTAAATACTTTTCAAATCCTTTCTCTAGTACTTACATCTTCCAACTGCACACCTTTTTGCCGACACATTTCGAGTTCCTGTTCAGTACGTTCACGTATTTCTTTGTATCGTCGTGTTTCTTTCTCGATTGCCGAGAGTTCACCCCAAGCATTTTTCAACGCAATCGCTCCTTCGGATTCAATATCTTTAGAGTAGAGAGAAGGGATAATTGCTTTAGAAATAAAATGTATTTTTTCTATACACATTTTAATTCGCCTACCGTCGTCAGCTGGTGAATCGTAAAGTTTACCCATGCGTCCCTGCCAATGCGATATGATCATATGCTGACGCTCGGCATCGAGCTCCAAACCAAGCAAATGACTCTCCGCTTCCAGCAGCTTGCGACGCAGCTTCATTTGTTGCTTGAAGGTGAGCACGATCTGCTCGCGCAAGTAGCGTAACTCTGTTTTACGTTTCTCATCCTCTTCGGTGGAGCGCGCGGGCTGAGCCGCAGCAGCCGCCGCTACACCACTACGCGGTCGTTCGGTTAGCATTTTACTACGCAAACGTGTTACCTCCTCACGTAATTCGGTTACCAGATTTTGGTAGTGTTTTGTGGGAAAGTCTTTGACCTCATCAAGATAAACGGAATTCTGTAAGCGCGTAGAAATGCTATTTGCGCGATCCGCATAAACAAGTGTATTCTTTGTTTCATCGCGATGCTTAGCTTCGGGTGCGACATGCGCAATCATAACGGTCTTGCACTTGCCACTTAATGCCTCTTTTAGTAAACGAGTGAGCTTCGAATCACGATAATTGACATAACGTGCACCACCCGACAGGGCATTGATGCAATTGCCGAGCGCCAGTAGACTGCGATTGATGTGTGCACCTTCCTGTAAACGCTTACCACGATTCTTAGTCTTCTTAGCACGTTCCGAGCCAGCAAGATCGGTGAGAAAGAGGCGACCTTGTTTTGTGCCCAACGGGGTTTTCGTCTGTACGGTAATACTGAGCAATGCATGGCTGCGTGACGATGTTTGGTTCGCTGCTGTCGGCTCCATGGTACGTGCTTTGTTGCCTCTGAGCAACAGTGAAACGACCTCTTGCCGACTAGTCGTGGTGATCTCTGAGAGGCCGGCGACGGTTATGCGTTGACCGCGATTATCTTCACGCAGTTCTAACGGCCCGCCAGGGTTCAACAGATCACGTATAAGCTCATTGTATATTTCCAAATAGGAAATAGATACCTGCAGTAATTGAGCAGTACTATAAAGAGTGTAAGCAAACAATTTGACATACAACTAACCTTGCTACCATTATTCGACGTGTTGTCGATATTTTGAAATATTTCCTCGATGGCACGAACCATCAATCCACTTTCATTGTTATTGGCATCGACATCGTAAGCCGCCGTAGCACCACGTTCGGTCGCTATTGAAGCGCCTTTCTTACGACAGGGACCCAACATGGTGTGTGTTTTGCCAGAACCGGTGGCACCATAAGCGAATACCGCAGCGTTGAGACCATTTAGCACATCTTTAACTAAAGGAGCAGTGGTTTTCTTATAGACCCTCTCCTATTTTTTGAAATACATAATTAATTATAACAAAGATGAGCTGCATTTTGCACTCGATTCTTTCAGTTTTGTAATATAAAATGTTTGAATATTGAGGACAGGAGAATCTTCTATAAAGACATACTTAAGTAATGACCCCTTAGTTAAGCAATCTGTTGAACCTTTTGTCCACCAAGAAATACACTGCACATAATTTCTTACCTGCGAGTCGGTTTC